TTGGATATATCACTGATTTCAGAGTTAATGACTAAAAATCTATTAACATTGCTATCTAGTGCATATCCAATAAAAACTGCATCAATAGTTTTAGAACTAATTTTCCTCTTATTAGGTTTGGGAATAGCTACCTTAGCCAAGCAACCCCAAACCCGGAAGAAGTTCAACCTAGGAGTTCTCCCCTTCCAATATTCATAAGGAGTTATATCGAAAGATTTGTGGGGAATCCTATTGAGAATGGAGTAGGCAGAAAGAAGAGCTTCACCCAAGAGATTTTCAGGTGCTCCTGCACTGAGTAACATACAGTTCACCATATCCATAAGTGTTCTATTCTTTCGTTCAGATACCCCATTAGACTGTGGTGTATAGAGAGTAGTTACCTCATGAATAATACCATGTTTTTAGCAATATTCAATCATTTCATTTGATGTATACTCCCCCCACGATCAGATTTTAAAATCTTGATCTTCCTATCAAGTTGGTTCTCAGATTCAGCTTTATACATCTTAAACCTATCTAAAACTTTATCCTTAGTTTTAAGTAGATAGGTGTAACAATATCTGGAGTGATCGTCTATAAATATCATAAAATATCTCCTACCCCCTCGGATGAGAACTCAGTTCGAGTCATACACATCACTATGAATTAATTCGAGGGGGTTCGAAGTTTCTAGTTATAGACTTGAAGGGTTTTATAGTGTGTTTCCCTTGAACACAAATCTCACACTTAGATGAGGGATCATGAGATGATTTAGGAATAAGATTTAATTTAATCATTCTCTGCAAAGTTTGAAAGTTTACATTGTCCAAGTCGTCAATACTAAACATCACAATATTCAATAATTTGTGCAACAGAAGACTCAGGAATTTTATTAGAACTGGAATTGAGTACATTGAGCTTGAAAAGGCCATTACAAATAAAATCTTTTCCTATGAATACATTGTTCTTTGTAATCACAAATTTATAGGATTCCTTTACAATCCTAAATCTAGCTCTAAGGAGAAGAGATTCACTGATTAGGTTGCGGCAGAGAGAAGGAACATGATGGACGCATTGCAGATTCAGAGCTTTCCCAGAAGTCATGATGAGCTCTATACATCCACTTTCCATTATTTGTTTGGTGGAGTCATCTGCTAAACTTATGCTTCCTCCACATGATTCCTGGTAAGTTGAAAACTAAGAGCGATCATTGCAAACGTGAATATTAGCTTCGGAATCCAAATACCAATCAGTGGAAGAAGTAAGAGAATTTACAATATAAGATGAAGAGGCTAACCAAAAGGAATTTGGATTTTCTTCAATTATTTTTACTTTATTAGATCAATTTCCTTTTGGAGCAGGTTTGGTTGTTTCCTTCTTCCGATAGAAGCAGTTGGGAGCCAGGTGGTTGGTTCTACCATAGACATAGCAGAACTTTCCATCAGACTTATGGCTGGATGAGTTGGGAATTGATTTGGAGGAAGATTTGTTGAAGGATTGTTGGTTTTTCTTGAATTTCTTCCCTTTGGGTTTGAAATTCTTAGATTTAGGTTTATCCTCTACTAAGTTCACTTTAGCTTTCATTTCAGACTTGGGTTTAGAATTTTGCATATGCTGGTCTTCAATATGAATAACTTTGAGGGCTTCAGTTAAAATTAGATCCCATTGCTTGTGTCGGAGATCTCCAGTAAATCTAGACCAGGAGGGAGGGAGTTTGTCAATCAGACATGAAACTTTAAAGTCACCAGTAAAAGTGATTCTCTTTGATTGGAGGTGACGAAGAAAATCTTGGAATTCATGAATTTGTTCATTTATGGGTTTGTCATCAACCATCATGAATTTATTGAAGGAAGAGGAGGTGAAACGCAGTATTCAGGCATCATCAAAGTCATCTTCTGTTTCAAGAGCATTCTATAGGTCTTTAGCACTTTTGAACTCATAGTATATGTCATAAAGGTTGTCCGCAAGTGCAATAAGAATCCTATGGCAACAATGATAGTTAATTTCTTCTGGCTTCATAGAACTAGAGAAGGAGCTAGTACCAGAAGTAGAAGTGGAAGGAGTAAGTTCAGGTTGAGGACCATAAACTGGAGATCCAGTGGATGAGGACTCGGGAGTGTCAATGGCAGATAGGAGACCTAGGGTAGTGAGCCAGTATCTCATTTTATTAGCTCACCGTTTATAATTAATACCGGTGAATTTCTTAGGCTTGACACTCTTGGAATAATCAGAGTTGGCCATAAGTCTGACTCAAGTTAACTAGTCTAGGTATTTGAAATCTGAGGGAATGAAAGAGTTTTGTCAATACCGATCAACTATTTACTTAGGAGTATGACTTCGATCAAAGAATATGAACAATAAAATATATACATAGAATAAAATAATTCTAATATAGTAAATAGTAATTTTATTTTGTGATTAATTTAGGAATAGTAAAACAATTAATTTTATTTTGGAATACAATTTATAACAAATTAACAATTAAAACAAGAAATAATTAACAATTATAATTCAAGTAATGAACAATTTTAGAAATTTTTTTAACGAACAACAACTTTAAAATTTTCGGAATGAACAGTAACAATAAATTTTTTTGGTGAATAGTAACTTTTTTAAAAAAATAAATAATTTTTTGGAGTTAAAAACAACAGTTATAAACTCCTTAATCTTCTAGATTGTTAGATAAAATCAAATAAAAGATATAAGTTATAGCATGCAAAATCCAAAATAAAAGAAATAAGAAAGTCTAGCCTGATCGGGAGCAGTCGTGTAAACACTATCCTAGAAGATTAAGGACCCGCCTATCGTCCTGGCGCAGATGATCCTCTTTCCCCTAGCGGTAAAACCCCCCGGAATCGGCCAACCTCTGAACTCGGACGAGAGTACAGAGCTTCTGCTCAGATGAAGAAGATTGCCCAAAAATAAACTGTAGCCGACAATTTTTAAAAGGAATAATTTAGAGAAAGAGAGAGAAGAGCTTTTCGTTTCTGAGAGGAAGAAGGCTCTGAAACTTGATGTGTACTTCCGAGCTGGTGTAGGCTCGGTATTTATAGGGTCTCAACCCTCAGAGCCGTTATAAATTAGGCCCGTTACTCGCAAAATTAGCGAAAACGTGCAGCCGTTACGCACATTCTCAATGAGAAAAACGTGCAAAAAGAAGTTTGACAAAACAAAAATGAGTGCGCGTGTGTTATGTAAATCCCAAATAATACAAAGCTCAAAACATCCCCTTCTTGGGGGGGTTATTCATTGGGGTAATTTTTGGGATAATGGGATAATTTTTGGAACAACAATGTTTGGTGTTATTCATTGGGGTAATTGGAACTGGTGTAATCTTTATGGTGTTATTGGTTTGTTGGGGGTAATTGGTGACAAAAACCCCATTTCACCCAAAATTATCCCAAGTATATAAACACTTCACATCCTCACACTCAAAATTTACCCAAAAAAGAGAGCTGGAACAAATGGGGGTAACCTTGCCCTCTTCTTCCACGTCGTCACCCGCCCCCAAGATCTCCCCCCTCATCCAAAGAAAACCTAGGAGAAATAAAAAAATCCCATCGCCAAAACCCTAATCTCCTCCCCGTCCCATTCCTCAATCTTCTCCACTCTGCTCCCCTCTATCTCCCGCCATGGCCGCCGAGGTCTGGATGCGGCTCCGCTCTACAGGACGAGGAGATTCGACGCGAGGGTTAGGATGAGCTTTCAGGAGATCCCGCCGCTGGATTCGGTCGATCTGAGCTCGATCGTGTCGAGAGCGGAGGGGATTCTGTACACGATCGCTGATGCTGCGGTTGCTGTGGATCCAGCGGCGGGCTCGGACGCGGTGGGGGTCGACGGCGCAGAAGAGTGGAGGCTGGTTCGGGTTTATATCCGATGCTATGGAAGTGAGATTTTGTATTTTGTATTTTTATCTTTTTGGGCTGTTATTGTCTTAAACGAGATTAAAAATTAGCTGAAATGAAAATATCTCTTCTGATTAGTATTTGAATAGAAGATTGAAGGAAGAGTTCTATAATCAAGTGTTTCGATGTATATAGATTCGTTCCAGAGAAGTAATGTTTTCTTTGAGTGAGGATCCAATTAAAGCTTTGTGGAAATATCAAATATGGCGAATTGAATTGTGCATGTACTTGCGTTACTTATAATGCGCTTTAGGTGCACAGGACCACAGTGATCTAAACCCTCAAATTGTCCCATTACCCCATTTTACCCCCATTTTATCCCACTCAATTATCCCATTGGGTAAAATTACCCCATTGGAACAATTTACCCCAAGTTACCCCAATGAATAACCCCCCCTTAGGGATCCTCAAACCCCAACAAGAGGAGAAGCAATTTAAACCCCTTACTATTCATAACACTAGTCCATGTGAGGCTATTCATTGGAGGTAAAATTTCCTTTTCCCCAACAACATAGCCAACACTTTTGAACGGACAAAGACTGCGAAATCCTCTCCCAATGATGTAATCTTTTGCACGGACAAAGACTACGAAACTCTCGCCTCTCGCACAATATTCTTGAATCATGTAACGCCCTCTGCTAACCCTAGATTATAAAAATATTGGCTCTCTCTCCTCTTCTTGGTTTTTCCTCCAACAATAGAAAAATATATATAGGAAAAACAAAAATCCTATCTCTAGCCTAACTTCCTAATTAGAATAGGATTCAAACTCCTAATCATGATGATACCTAATCTTCTAATCATGATAAATCTGTAACATCATCTAATTCTCATGAAGTTATACAAAAAATCAAAGACGCAATCCCAACATGATAATAAACTACTCCCAAAATATGACGTGTAGAGCCAATACATTTATTTAAGAACGTAGACGCTTTTTCCTCTCTGACGTGACCAACATAAAAAAAATGCAGACGGCGACGCATTTTGTAAGTAACCGGTTGAGTGGATTACTTCAAGATCCCAGCCAATGAATCACCTAAACTAGGTTCTCCTTATCCTTTACTTTAAAAAAAAAAAAAAAAAAAACAAAAAAAAAAACAAATAAAATAAAATAAAATATTTAATAAATAAAGCACGCACTCCCCCAAATAAAGCCTAGTTCTCATCTCGCTCCTCACAACAACTAATGGACGCAAATGATAAGCCGCACGCGGTATGCATGCCGTCCCCAGCACAGGGCCACATAAACGCCATGCTGCAACTGGCCAAGCTCCTCCACTCCCTCCACGACTTCCACATCACCTTCGTCCTCACCCGGCTCAACTTCAACCGCATCCTCTCCACCTCCGCCGGCGATGAGCTCCCGCCGTTCTGCAACACCGTCCAGAGCGACGACCTGATCAATCAGTACGACCCAAAAACTTTTAGACTGTTAAGTACTGATCATTCCGATTTTCGGCCTGTTTGGATGGAGGGTAGAGAGGGGGCGGGGGAGAGAAATCTAATTTTTAACCTTGTTCGGGAGTTCCATTTATGAGGGTAGAGGAGGAGGGAATGAGGGGAAATTTAAGCCAAAATCTTACAACCCAAATTTAGGTGTAACGAAAGGGAAGGGAAGGAAGGAGAACTTTTCCCCTTCATTCACCTTCCCTTCCCTAAGTCATCTCCCAAACACACTGTTAAAATTAGCTAGATTGATATCAGAAGCTCACTCATCTAATAAGTTTAACCGGAATATCTCTTCATCTTTGACCATTAATCTTGCAAATCTACAAATTTGGAGAGTTGGAAATAAAACCAAAAGAGATAAAGTTAACTAATTATTAGTTCTTGAGAAACCTCTGGCACTACAAAAACGATCAAGGATCCTACTAGAACCATTTCTAATTTTTGCACTATGTAAAGAAGAGTTAAAATCCTCATCTGACAATGGACGGTATAGATCTTCCCATTCTATAGGGATGGCATGATAGTTACTTAATGATCAATGGATGAGAAGTCTTCTTAGCATTTTTTGACTTTTTTTTTTTTTTGAAAAAAAAATAGAATATAGGTTCAAGAGATTTAATGTTCTTTTACCGTAAGTTTATGAAGTCCGTCATAAAATTTCAAACATCATCCAATACTTTCTTTGATTTTGGACTAAAATGAGAATCATAGACGTGTCAATGTGATTAGTAATATTTATTTGTCACTCTAATATTTTATCGGATACTATCCTCTCCACTACCAAAAATAGTGGAAAGGTCGTTACAATATCATAATTGTTAATTTGTTTAATGGACGATTCTGATTTTCCGTTGACCGTAAATTGGGAAAACAGTGCAATTCAAGGGGATGAATCATATAACCACGCACTATGTAAATCAACAACTATATATGATTATTGTGGTGGTCTCTCCGCTACTTCGATAGTGGAGAAGATCAAAAGAGGCTCAAAATCTCATTTTATCAGCTAACTAGACATTAGTCACTCTTAACTGCCAGACCGTCTTCCTTCGATGTTCTTCCTGATTTTCGGTGTGAGGCAATCCAGGACGGTCTCCAGAGATCGGACCCCAACAGCGGCGAGGAGCTCTCAGAGCTTTGCGACAGTGTACGGAACAACCTAGCTGATCACTTCAGACAACTGGTGAAGAGGCTGAATCATGAGAACAGAGGGCCGAAGGTTACATGCATAGTTTCAGATACATATTCGAGCTTTACTCTTGACATTGCGGCGGAGATTGGAGTGCCTGATGTGTCCTTCTGCTCTGTGTCCGCTTGTGGATTCTGGGGGTTTTACTGTTTCAAGGAGCTTCTGGAGAGAGGGATTGTCCCACTCAAGAGTAAGTTTTTTTTGTCCATGGTTTTTGTTTGATTTTGCATATTCATTTTGATTGGTGAAAGATGAGGAAGTATCTAGTGGGGCTGGACCATGACAATAAATGTGTACCCAATGGATCGATTATTAAGTTTTGTGATTCGTGCACTGTTCTAAGGATCAATATCAACTCTAGTCACCAGGGACAAGACTGCTAATATGTAAGTATATCTGGTATTTGTTGTTTTTATCTAAATATTAACGACATCAAATACCAAATTATGTGTGTTTATTTTAAAATGGCAAATAATGTGGGGGCAAATTGATATAGGGACTTAATACTAGGTATTTTTCTTAGGGGGTCAAAGAAAGCAGTCGATCCCACTCTCCCCCAGAAATGCTATTTGGCTCGCTGATAAACACGTAACTTCAGCTCGCGCCTACGTGGAGCCAGCCACGTCAGAACCCCAAAATTTCTGTCCGTGACCTTCCCTTTCTTCCCCAAATTTAATTCTCTCTCCTCACTTCAACCAGTTCCCCAACAAGAGAAACCCACTCCAGACTTCTCCGCCGCCCCCTGAAGCAGATCAGCTCCTCGACTGGTCGCCGCCGCCCCCTGAAGCAGATCCCCTCAGCTCTCCATAGAAGCCCTAAAATCGGATCGATCTCTCTCATCCCCCACCTCAAAACAAGTACTTTTCCTCTTTTGAAATCCATCAAAAACCCCCGATTTCGTGCAAATTTCACCGCTTTAACTCTGATTTGATATGATTTCTGTTTGCCTCTTGTTTAATTGAAATCTACTTACAAACTAAACACAAGAAATCTGATTTGAGTGATGTGTTTAATTTCGATCAAAGTAAGCACAAGAAATGAATTGGTGAAAATTGTGTGCAAATTGTTTGAATGAATTCTTGGTGCAAATTGTGAAAATTTAACCAAGTTTAACCAAGTTTCAAATTGTGGATTTTGGAGGGTAATTATAATTTTACTAGTTAATTTTACTGGTTAATTTTACTAAGTTTCAGGAGTTCAAAGAAAATACATTTAAGGTATGCATTATCAAACGAAGAGGAGTTCAAAGAAAATACATCTAGTTCCTTTACTCTGTGTTGTGTTCATTAAATTAAACTCGTTAACAAGATAAAAATTTGTGGGTCTTTCCATACATTTAAGGTATGCATTAAAACTCGTTAACTACATTCAACTTCATTATCCTTTTTACGAAAGGATACTGTGAAGAATTTAGGAATCTTTTTGCCGCCCTCCAATCGCAAAGTCAATTTGCCCCCACATTATTTGCCATTTTAAAATTTATGTTCAGCTAGCTGTTAGAAGCTAGATTATTGGCCAGGATTAGACATTTGGTATATCGAGGCTAATCATGTTGAATTGAAGGCAAAACCTGCATTCAGTTTAGCCCCTATTGGCTCAAAGGCATTAGGTTAAAAGGATAGTTAATTTGTAAGTGTACGTGTCCGTATATATATATATATTTTGAGTAGGTTTAGAATCCAACGGAATTTATTAATTAATTAGAAATATTCCTATACTATACATATATAGGTTCTGAATAATTCAATAAAAGGAATGGAAATATAAGAAAGAATAGTCTTTTACAGGATCAGAGAATTGTGGTTATTTAAAAAAAAAACAAAGATTGCATGTGTAGAATTACGCTAGAATCACAAGTTATATAGGAACTAAAACACGTATTTGCTCAACATAAAAGCATCAAAGGAGCGCAAGGCTCCGCCTCGTGTTGTCGACGGCATGAAATTGTAAGTCATATATATATATATATATATAGAGGGGGTTATTAATTAGGGATCTAATTCTAATTAATTAAATGAGCAAATAAAGAACCTTGTATTTGGCAACCTCCTCCCTGACTTCTTTGATGAGACCCACGTTTCCCTGCAAGCTAGATGGATAGATTCATAACAATGCGTACAAGGAACCCCCTCCTCCCTTTGAGTAACATCTGTTCCTTTTCTTGTAGGTGAAGATGATCTAAGCAATGGATATCTCGAAACTTGCATCGATTGGATACCGGGAAAATCCATGCGCTTGAGAGATTTTCCAAGCTTTGTTCGAACAACAAACCCTAATGATAGCGTCTTCAACTTCTGCAAAGACGAGTCAGAAAACGCTAAAAAAGCCAATGCGATCATCATCAACACTTTCAATGACTTAGAAGCTCCCGTTCTCGACGCAATGTCAGCTCAGCTTCCTCCAGTTTATGCTGTAGGGCCTCTAACCCTGATGTGTGACAAAATTCGCGACGCAGCGCTAAAAAACTTCAGGTTCAATCTGTGGCAAGAAGAGTCAGCTTGTTTGCAATGGTTGGATCGAAAAGCAAACGGGTCGGTCGTTTACGTGAATTTCGGCAGCATGGCCGTCCTGAGTAGCGAACAACTAGTAGAATTTGCGTGGGGGTTGGCTGACAGCGGCCGTGAGTTTTTGTGGGTGATTAGGTCAAACATGGTGTCAGGAGATTTAGCTACATTGCTCCCTGCAGGGTTCTCATCAGCTGTAACAAGTGAGAGGGGTTTACTAACGAGCTGGTGTCCGCAAGGGGAGGTGCTCATGCATCCAGCGATAGGGGGGTTTATGACACATTGTGGATGGAACTCTACGATGGAGAGTATAAGTAGGGGTGTTCCGATGATTTGTTGGCCGTATTTTGGAGATCAACAAACAAATTGTTACTACGCGTGCAACGAATGGGGAATCGGGGTGGAGCTCGGTAATGACGTGAAGAGAAAAGATGTTGAGGGGTTGATTAGGGAGATTTTAGGAGGGGAGAAGGGGAAAGAGATGAGAGAGATGACGTTGAAATGGAAAGAGAGTGCGATTAGGTCAACTGAACCAGGTGGAAAGTCTTTCATGAACATGGAGAAGGTGATCAGGGAGGTTCTTCTAGAAGATAATAAACATATATGATTCTGTATGTCGTATATATATGTAGCTTCCTTCCTTCTATATTTATTTATTTAAATCTATTGTAGTTTGATCATCAATATACCAGACTTCAATGTCTAATCATATCTTGTAAAGACTTGTAACATGAATATAAATCGCTTCGAAATAAGTGTTATATATGCCCGTGGATTTGGCTTATTTAGTCTGTATATCTGATTTTTTTATGAGTTTCTTTTTTTTTGTGCTCTTTTTTTTTTTGGTCAATGAAAAATTTTGTATTCATTTACCAAGTGAGAAATATATATACATCAGACACAGTCTGTTAGACTGAAAACTCAAAATATGATGTGCGCATTAATAAAACATGCACACATGCACATATACCAGACACAGTTACAATTCTCTGATCCTATCTCTTATGTGAGCAGGGTAATCTTCATTCATGATCTTTGCAAAGACTGAGAACTTGATTGCATTGAACAATTCTTCAACCTGTCTATTTTTCCTTTGAAAAATCCTTAGATTCCTTTCTTGTCAGACAAAATACACTGAAGCAGCCAGGACCATCCGCTTCAAATTTTCCCAAAAACCCTTTCTCTTTAGTCTGAAGCTATACCAGTCAATAATGTTGTCCCAATCACATGACTTCCATCTAAACTTCAACCAATCCATAACCAAATTACAAACAGCAGCTGAGAATTGGCAACCAAAAAATAAGTGACGTCCAGTTTCCTGATGACCTGAACATAGCACACATTGATTTATGTTGAGGATCCTCATCCGACATAATCTATCTTGGGTTAATAATCTTGAATGAGCAGCTAACCATAAGATGAAAGAATGTTTTGGATAATGAATGCTATTCCAAACAGTACTAGCCCACTTTACTTGATGAGCAGATTGAGTAAGAAACCTGTAAACAGAGGATAATTGCAATTTGCCACCAGCACAGAATTCCTCAGTTATGTTTTGCAAGTTACTAATACTCCCAAAGTTTGTAATCAGAACATCTCTGGCTTTTAATAGCTGTTTCCACATCCAAGAGGCATTTGGCTTAATTTGAATCTGCTAGATATTATTTGACTGTAAATAATGTTCATGCACCCATTTAATCCATAAGAGGTCTTTCTTGAGATGAATCATCCACAACAATCTAAGAGCAGTTGCATAGTTCCAAGTTCTTGCAGAGAAAACCCCCAATCCTCCAAACTTTTCCTCTTGACAAATCTTTTTCCAGGAAACTAGAGGAATTTTGTGATTCCAGAGAAAGTCTGAACACATCCTATCAATTTTACTTAGGATTTTACAAGGTAGGATATAATTATTTGTCCAGTAGATGTGGATACCCAAAATGACAGATTTAATCAATTGTAACCTCCCAGCATATGATAAAGTCTTCCTCTTTTGCCAATTCTGAATTTGCTCAGAGATTTTCCTGATTAAAGGGGAATAGTCCATCCAAGATAACCTTTTAGTTATGAGAGGCATACCCAGATACCTTACTGGCAAGACACCTTCGGAAAAGTTTAGATATGAGCAGATTTGATGCTTTGATACCACTCATATATATAGAACATTTATTGGGGTTAGATTCCAGACCTGATACTGTACTAAAATCTTGCAAGCATTGATATAACCTTGTAATAGAATTTATGTCAGCTCTTCCAAAAAGGAGTAGATCATCAGCAAAGAACAAGTGTGTAATGTTCAATCTCGAGCATTTAGGATGAAATTTGTACAGATTGTCATTTTTGAGAGTATTGAGCTTTCTTGACAGATATTCCATACCTAGAACAAAAAGGTATGGGGAGAGGGGATCCCCTTGTCTTAGTCCTCTAGCCCCATAAAAATATCCATGGAGGGATCCATTGAGAGAAAAGGAAAATTTTGAGGTAGTGATACATTCCATAATCTAATTAATCATAACAGTTGGAAACCCCAGACCTGACAGCATTGCCTCAATAAATCTCCAATTTATGGTATCAAAGGCCTTTCTCAAGTCTATGTTGAGAATGGCTCTAGGTGAAGACTGTTTTCTCCCATAGTGCTTTATAAGCTCATGAGCAAGCAAGATATTATTGGAGATAATTCTACCTTTTACAAAAGCACTTTGAGCATCACTAATCAAAAAACCCATTACTTTCTGAATTCTGCAAGCAATTATTTTAGCAATAATCTTGTAGACACAATTGCAACAAGAGATTGGTCTAAAATCAGATGGAGACTTGGGGTTGAGTACCTTAGGAACCAACGTGATTGAGGTAGAGTTGAGAGTCCCTAGAAGTTTGCCAGAATGGAAAAATTCCTCTACTGCCAGATAGAGATCCGCTTTTATGATATCCCAGGCTGCTTTATAGAATGAGGCATTGAAACCATCTGGTCCAGGGGCTCTGTCATCAGCCATTGAGAAAATAGCATTTTTTTATCTCTTCTCTTGTGATAGGAAGACCTAGCTCATTACTTTGAATTGAAGAAAGGATCGGGCCATTTGCTATTACTTCAGGGTCAGGCAATGCAACATGAGTTGAAACACCCAGGAGATTATGATAGTACTCAATGAATTCCTTGATGATATCAGACATTTCAGTGATCCTTTCTCCATTATCAGTGTAGAGAGATAACACTCTATTATGGTGTCTTTTAGCTTTCATAATTGAATGGAAGAATTGAGTGCATTTGTCACCATATATGCCCCATTTGATGTTTTCTTTTTGTCTGTAGAAAGAATTTTCACAATTGAGCAGTCTCACATACTTTTCCAGACATTCTTTCTCTTTTGAAACCAGCAAGGGGTTAAAAAGATCACTACTCATATGCTCCTGGACCTCAACTAGATCATTTTTTGCTCTTAATACTTGCTCACTTATATTCATGAAATGTCTTTTATTCAATTCCTTCAGAACTGGCTTGAGCTTCTTGAGTTTGGTATGGAATATATACATCTTGTATCCTGTAACAGCCTGATCCCAACCTGATCTAACTGTTGAGAGGAAATCAGGGTGGGTGATCCACATCTTAAAAAACTTGAAAGGCCTTTTTCCCCCAATATCCTCATCTTCAATTGTAATTAACCCAGGGGAGTGATCAGAACAGTTTGGAGTCAAGAATTCAACCTGGCTTGAATTGTACTTTTGAATCCAATCTTCATTAACCAGAATTCTATCAAGTCTACACCATATTCTTGTGTCAATATCCTTGTTTGTTGGAAATTTGTAGTAAAAAGACAATGAAAGAAAAATTAACTTGTATTTCTCTCAAAATCGATTGTAATTTGGATTCCGATTACAAAAGAGAGGAGAATGAATTTGATTCTCCCCTTTGTTTAAAACTGGGTTCTTCTTGGTAGCGATGGAGTGCCTCCTTCGATTGATTGTGTCGAACTTGCTCTCCATTGACGATCCGACCGTCTTATCTCACGAGACTGATTGAATTGCTGGATGACTTCGGTTTAGAACTCTTGACGAGTGTAAAGAACTCAGAACGAGTTGAAAACTCTGATAAGAGTTGTTGAAAACCGAATATCTAGTTTGATGTGATTAATTTGGGTTGCAAACTTAATCACGAACTCTTAAATGAGTTTCAAAACTCAGAGCGAGTTGAAACTCTGTAAAAGAGTTGTTGGAACCGAAGATTCGGTTAATTGCCAAGTGGATTATGCCGTTGATGAAAGGATCCTCTGGGATTTGATTAACTGATCGTTGATCAGTTCCTTGATCTTCAAAAGATCTCCTTCTTCGTGCTGTTGAACTGCTGAGATTTGTTGACCTCGGGCGGTTTTGATGCCAGCTCACCTCAACCCTATGCGGTTTTCTGCCAGAAACCGATCAACCCCTTACTCAGTTGAGTAAGTCGGTTATTTATAGGGGGATAAGGGGTGTAACCAACCCCTATTTCCGCTCCTTTGTGGGCGAGAATCCCTCAGAACGTGGGATAAACGATTATGAGGCCGTTCAGCTTGTGTTTGAACAAGTCAAAACGTTGGCATTCTGGTCCGTAACTCTGTTAGAGATTTGAGACGCACAGGCCGCATGCGTTCTGGAATTAGAAACGCATAGGTCACTGGTGCGTTGAAGTTCAACTTTGCGTCCAGAGTTTGGGACACAGTTGAGTCTGTCGAAGAACGCACGTTACGTGTGCATTTCGTGATTTAACTCTGCGTTACAGAGTTCGATGTCTGCTGAGGAACGCACAGGTTGTGTGCATTTTGAATTTGAGAAACGCAGAAGTGAATTTCTACGTTTGAGAGAGGTTGTTGACTTGTAACCTCGTCCCTTATAACATTGCAAAGGCTATTGCTTATTGATCTTTGCCTGTTATAGGATATGAGAGTCGTCAGATTGTAACTCTCACTGTTGGTTGCGAAGACCACTGAACAGAGTTTTCATCAGCTGTCGGAAGCGTCGTCGAATTGTAACTCTTCTCGATCTGTGTGAAAAGCCCTCTATCTGCAGCTTTCGATTGTCGGCGCAAAAGCTATTTGATTGTAGCTTTCGTTGTTAGAATTTGACGGGAATCAACATCCATAGTGTTTTTAGATGAATATTTGCCCACAGCTCTCTACCAAGCAACTCACCAGCTAAGTCCAACCTTTTATTTCTAAAATCATTACACTGCTCATCAGCATCTCTAATAGTTGCTAATATAGTATTAGTCATGCTGTTGTCGCAGCCATCAAGATCAATCATCTCAGAAATGAGGTCGTGTTTGTAGCGGTTGTAGAGCTGCGGTTGCAGTGATTAGAAAGTCGTCTGATCGTGACTTTTATTGTCGGGGCTTGATAGGGATTAGCTATCCGTTGTGATTTTTAGACAGCCTACAGAACACCCTCTAAAGTTTTCGAAAGTTCGCGGTTGACTGGGACGAATTTTCGGAATACTTTGGATCCCAAAATTTAGTGGATTGATTGTTCATTTCGTCTAATCTGAAGACATTGCCGAACTTGGCTGATTGCAATCTGCTTATACTCATCCAACAGACTCTTCAGTGGAGTCTCCCGTTTCTTCTTGGCTTTAGTCACCTTGGTAGCTGACATCAGTTTCCCTCTATTTATTTGGGACCATATCTTGGCTTTAAACATAGAGGAATTCATTTGGTTGAGTTAGAACGCACAGGTCAATTTCCTGTGTTATCGAATTGAAACACAGAGTTGAATTTTGCGTTTAGGAGTTCAATCAATGCAGACGCACATGTGAATTCTC